ATCCAACTTCAGCTCTTCTTAAGGATTTGTGTGGCTTTGGGAGGATATAAGACAAACAAGCATTAAAAACCACAGTAAATGAAAGCACATAACTTTTCTGTTCCTGGCATGCTCCAGTGACATTAATATTGCAGAGACTGACTGTCCTTATGTCTCTGTATCAGTGGATCGTACACCATTCTTGGCAGGTTTATGTTGGACATTTTTTAAAGTATACAAATAATGGATAAGCAACCTTTGTCATGTAGTTGTGTATCTCCTCGGTCATTCTGCTGTTTTTTTCATTATCACCCCCCCCCACCGCCGCCTTTTAGAAACGATGATGTAAGTAATGAGGAGGCACATTAAACATGTTTTGTGTGTGTGTGTATATAATGTAAAAAATTCCTTCATTAATGTTGATTGTTTATTTCATTTTTTACGTTAAATCGAAACTGTCAGCCTATAAACATTCTTGTCTTTGAAAGCATCCTTGTTTTTGAAATGAATTCCCATAAGTCTGTGATTTGCTTATAATTTTGTGGTTATGAATTCCGGAAGAGTAATCATGTACGTCTGCAGCACAAGACATGCTGTGGTGTCAAGCCCAACTTCTGTCAAATTGGGGTGAAGAAGTGGGGGCAAAGTTGAACAAAAGAAAGAGATAGACAGACACTGCGAGAAGCAGAAGCAGAATAGTAATGTTTGGTTTAACAAGTGGATACTATACACTATGCTTACTATATAATATGCTGGAGGTCTTCAAGAAAAGGGTGAACAACCATTTGTCTGGGATGGCATAAGGACTCCTGCTTTGGGCAGGAAGTTGAACTAGAAGACTCCAAAGTCCCTTCCAACCCTGTGATTCTATGATTGTTTGTGTGTCTGTGTGTGCACGCGCGCGCACGCCCACATGCGTTTGCATGCATTGTTTTTTTTCCTGATGTTCTCTGCTATCCAACTATGGGTAGTGATGATGAAACTTTTACACAGGTAACAAATTCATTGGTATGGAACAGGTACTTGCTCCGAGTAAAAGATCCAGCCATATTCCATTATTTTTAGAATAGACTTAGAACTTAGAATAACTTTATTGTCACTTTGAAGGTACACTAATCAGCATACATTAAAATGAAATTTCATTT